ACACGTACACATGTACGCACGCACGTACACACACCATGTAAGAGAGAATGCAACACCACTACACTACAACCTGTATTCAAAGGGAAAACGTCTATTCAGTGTTTGGCTATTAAGGATGGGCGATATGGGAAAAAATAACATCATGAAACTTTTTCATTTTTACAGTACTTAATGTATATCACAAGATTTTTCTGAGGGTTCTAAACAATCTAGCACAGCAAAGCAACACATAAACATGCATCAATAAACTTTAAAAAGGAACAAGAGGAAAAATAAAAAAGAACAGGGATGAACCGATATGACAACTGCGGTCAGATGCCCATATCAAGTATTTTTCATGTAGATATCTACCGATGTTGACATCAACATTTATAAAATGTAGGAAAAAACTAAAACTACTGGTAAGCATTAAAGAGAAATATTTATTCTGTAGGGTTACAAACACAGCAAAAGGAAAATGAAGATATTTTGGAGTCTAATCATCTGTCTGATGCTGATTTTTTTTATGCAAACATCTGCCTATACTGATATGATACTGATATCACTGTGTGCCGCAAAAAAATCTAAAGTTACTTTTTACTTTGCATTTATGCTGGTTGTCCTTGAGGTTGCTGATAAAATCTGCCTTTTTAATGACACACAGTTGTTCAGTGTTTTAGATGTACTGACTAAACCCACTTAGAAAAGCACATTTGTAATTTATCACAATAATAGCAACGTCATTTTGCCTGTGACACATTTCATTGTGTTTTGAAAAGTCAGAAATGTTCACATGAATGGGCTGAACATATATAAACATACATAAATAGTCTCAATATTTATGCTTCAGGATCCATTCATAAACAGCTTGTGTGCTGCAAATGACAATTTTGCTGTACAAAACTATAATGATGGTATGAGCATATTTTTGATACAGAAATAGAAATAATTAACATGCAGGATACAGCTCAAAGGCAGACGAAACACATCTTCAGAAAATAAAGAACTGTTATATTAATAAAGCACAATAAAGCATAAAGCTAATGTGACTGCTTCACTCTCTTCCACACACTTGAAAAGACTCAGCGGAGGCCAAAATGTTTTAGTTAGTAAAACTACTCCATTTTCACTTTTGTAACCCTAAAAGAAAAAAAAATAAATCTTCTTCTACTCATCCTCCACTCTCTCTTTCTCTCCCTCTCTCTTTAATCCCCCTCTACTTTGCATCTCTGGAACTTGGCTCGCTGGCTCAGGCTGTGCTCTGTTATTTTTACACCAGTACGGCAGTATAGATTTCCAGGTTTCCCAGCCACCTTCTTCCAACCTCCCCCATCTGCCACCATCTGCCTCTGTTTAGCGTCTACTTTTTTGTGCAATCACATACTCTTGTGAAAAATAACCAACACTCAAATCATCTCCTGGCACAGCGGCCAGGCTGAGCAAAACAAAATGCCGCGCCAAATTGTCTTCTGTACTTTTTCGAGTGGAATCTATATCCCCCCTTTCCCCCTCCACCTCCACCTTCCTCTCCCACTGCCGCCCCCTGCCCATTCTCCCTCTCCACTCCATAAATATGGATTTAGACGCTGCATTCTGGGCAACCTGCGCACGGCTGGGTGAGGAGAAGGACCTGAGAGTTCAAACTATTGTTCCAGGGACGCGGCACAAACGCAGCAGATCAGTGTGGCGCCCTGCAGCATGAGGGCTGCGTTGAACTGAGCACTGTGCATTTCTCTCATTAGTTCAAAGGCAAAATTACGGAAAAATTGTGTGTGCAATCTTTAAACCTCAGTTTTTTAGTAGCACCTTCAAAACGAATGCTTCATCGCAATTCAGCTAGCTTAAAAATGTCATTCTGCATAGTTTGGAATGACTGCATAATGCTGTCAGATCCTTATAGTACATCTACAGTTCATATGTTTTACTTTTGTCTTTGCTACCCAAGCAAAATGCTTTGTATCGTATTCGATATGGTTTTTATCTGTACACCCATGTGTCTGTGTTTTTGAGCAGGCTCCTTAGGTGTGAGTGGACAGTTCTGGACTGCGTACGCGCGCTGACTCACAGTGCTGCCGTGGCAGGAGACGATTTGTTGTGAAAACGAGGCATCGTTGTTGTCAAATTGCACACCTCCCCACTCCATCATAAAAGCAAACAGCCATAACAGTAATTATTTATTGAGCATCGCCTTCTTTAGGCACTTAAATCAAGCACTGTGAGTGATCTTGATGCCATCATACAGAACCAGGTAACTTAGTCGTCAACGGTCAACCAGCCAGCACAAAATCATTCAGTTAATTACAGATTTAGTCAAGGCAGTTATGAATCAGGTTTGTTAAAAGTAAAACTAGGGATGTGCACGAGTACTCAGTTAACCATTCGAGGTGCCAGTATTTGAATACTGAAATCTCTATTCAGGTACTTGTTCTATTTCAGCCCAGGAGATCAGAGAAAACATACAGACTAACAATTCAATGAAACTGCACTATTGTGTTTTAACAGGACTGTAAAATGTTATGGTATTGCTCATATTTGTGAGTATGTATATTAGTATGTACATTACACTGTATGTATATTACGCTGTGCTACCTGGAAACACGAGTGCCTGAATGTTAGCACACTGCCAAGGACACCGCATTGTTAAGGACAGGTGACTGAAGGCAGATGTAGCACAGCCAGAGCTGATGTGGAGTCTAATCACACATCCTGTGCTGATCTTACTTCCCTTAGCTTTGAGTCATGTTGTTCACCATGTTATTAGATGAATCATACATATCAGAGCCGTCAATTAACAACTCCGGGTGGAACCTCAAAAGGCATAGATATGTATAGATATGTACGTGTTAGCGACACATCAGTACTGATACTGGTATCAGCTGGATACTGTGCTCATTTACTCATACTCATAAAAATGCAAACATCCGATAACATCTGATACCATGTAACGTAAGCTTAGTGTACACTGCTGCGCTAAGACACACAAAAAACACACAAATACAATCAAAGCCACTTCCCCAATAACTGTGGAGACACGTAGGCTAGCTAAACAGAGGTAAAAAGTTGAAATTTGCGGTACGAAAAAAACGTATACGTCGACTTTACTCGTTGACTGAACAGAATTGCGCAGTGTAAACTTTAATACAGTCATTTTTTAATTGACTTTGTAAAATAAGCAGTAGAGAAACTGTACAGTCCTATCAATGTACATCAATGCCTGGTTTTAGTTTCAGTGCACGGTGTGGTACAAGTTAGCAAAGCTGCTGTAGCACAATTTCTCAGTGTTTGCTCAGTACTCAGCGAGCAGAGTGTGTGAATGAAACAGTTTTATTGGTAACTGTCCGTAGACAGAGCTGTCTACAGAGGCTGCGAACAAAGATTACAAGATTTCTAAAATCGCACACTGTACGCTTGGATTTAGAGGAAATTCAAATTTAGTTCAACGGGCCAAAAACACTCCAACAAGACGTAAAACTCGAAACCTCAGCTCTTCAGATGCATTAGCCTCGGATATGATTCCTGATGTCACTGTGCTATGGAGACTGATTGCTGAAAGAGACAGATGAGGAGCAGGGATCAAAACTATGAAACGTCATTTAGTTTCAGCTATACAGAACTGTTTCCGACGTGAAACAAAACCCACTGTTCTCCACTGCAATGCTACTCAATTCAAGGCAACTAATATGAAGTAGCCAGCTAATGCATGTCATTTAAAATCAGCTCGATTTTAATGTTTTAACTGTCAAGGTACACTGCACTCATTTACACGAACAACTACTTATTTCTTAACAGCTATGTTATCGGTATAGGCAAGTACCTAAAAACATGTACTCATACTCCATCTGAAAAAAATGCTATTGATGCATCCCTAGTATGTGCCTGACTTTTTGTTAACCTAAATATATTCGTAAATAAAGGCAAGAAAAGCTAGTACAGATCTGAATTAAAATCAGTGACAAGTGTTAAAGTTAACTGTACTGAAAATGGGCTAAATTGCTAACTCTGCCCTAGGATCTTTGGGAAGTAACATCAGGATATGGATGTGAGATTATATATATATATAACTGTAAGAAAGTCCAAAAGAATTTAAAAATACAACAGCAGTGTTAAACTGCAATGCTCTGTGTTCTGTTTGAAAAGTGATTAAGCATTTACAAACAATGATTTTGCAAAAAACTGCACAGGCACCCAACCATTTTGGACTTGTTCAGGAGCACAGTGGGTAACGTAAGTGGAAATTTAAGTCATTTCTCTGAAACGCTAATACGTTGGCACATCGTCCACTGAGGAGAAAACACCTTGTGTAAGAAGATAAGTCCTCATCAGCATCCAGTGTTGTACAAGTTAGCTGTAGTTTTAGCCCACATCTGAAGAGGCAGCCTCAGTTTTGTCCAACACAAAAACTACAGATTTCCCTCGGCTTTTTTGAGTAATAAAACGTTTTCAAATGGATTCCTCTGCTTGCTGCTATTTTGTGTGCTACTGGTTTTTGCCTCTTTTGTCATTATTTTCCTGTTTTTCCCTTCCTATTGTTAACCGCATATCTGTTTATGAACTCCTGCAGATACTCAAATATCAAAATTAGTCAGAAAGCACATGCCTAGAATCTACACCAGTTCTTTGTGGATAACACTGTGGTGTGTTATAATTCACTGGACCAGGAGATGGACCACACTGACTATAACATACTTTAAAGATCAATATTTACAAAATGCCCTACATCGATACTCCACAAATGCCCAGGGCAGATGCTGAAAAACAAAAAAGCTCACAGTCACAGCTGTATAAATGTATTTATAAATACAACAAACATAGAATTATTCAAGGATTCCCTGAAAACTTCACTAAAGGGCATAACCTTCAACCCTCACACCGTCACACATGCACTTTGGGTACAGCATAGTGCAGGAACGAAAGAAGGATTCTTGATTCCATCACATCATCGTATAAAGTATTATTGATTCTGTGGTGTGTGGTGTATCTTTCTAAGGCAGTGAGGTGGAGGAGGGCCATGATCTCGTTACCTCAGGGGCCAGGTACTCTGGTGTTCCACAGAAGGTCTTCATAGTAGCAGCATCAGTGATTCCTTCTTTACAGAGCCCAAAGTCTGTGATTTTAATGTGGCCATCCTTATCGAGCATGAGATTCTCCAACTGAGGAGAGAAGAGGGGAAAAAAGAATGAGTACATATTGCCTTTCTTACAGTATGGGATAGTCTTTTGTTAAACTCAGAATCGCTGCTTGTTCCGACAGATTAGAGAACATGTTGACGCCTGTATGAATAAACCATTTACTCCATCTACATTTCATATGCCATGGCAGAGAAAAAGGAACTTCCAGCTATTCAACCTTTCAATTTTAATGGCGAAGTCTTTTTTCAAGTTTCTTGGCGCCTCTACCGCCGGCTCAGTCCAAGGCTGCAAGCAAAACACTGTGTCATCTTCCACAGCCGCCAGAGTTTGATATCGCCCAAAAAAGAAGCTTCAAACTCTAGAGCTTTTAATTACATTTTCCATGTCCCGTGCCACATGCTGAAATAAAAGCAGTGCACAGGAACCGAACTGGCTTTTGCAAAAATATGTGATTACTTCCCTCTTTCCTTTTTTTCCTTTCTTTCATTCATTATTTATTTATTTTTTGTTTACCTTGAGATCCCGGTACACTATCTTGGCGGAGTGCAGGTAGTCGAGGGCGGAGACGATCTCGGCGCCGTAGAAGCGTGTGCGGTCCTCCGAGAACACTCGTTCTCTCGACAAATGGAAAAACAGCTGCAGGATAAACAGCAGGGACAGGATTGCAATAATTACTGATTTATTGGAGGAAATTAACACAACACAAACTGCCTCCCATCGCCATATTGAGATGATAGATGGCGGGGCCCTCGGAGGACGCCCGGCGAACCCAGACAGCAGCTGGCGCATCATCCCCGGCTTTCCAGAGAGAGGCCGGCGCGGCCTGTTAAATCAGCATTTTAATCAATACACCAATCTTGTTAAAGGCAGCGCTAGCGCGCTCACGGGCTAACGTCCCATCAAAGTGTCAGGAGCGCGCCTTCCCCCACAATCATCTCCCTCAATTTTTTTTTTAGGGAGTATTCCCCTCTCTCCTGTCGCTTCCCCCAGTCAGATGTCAAGGGTTTCTGTCAAACTGCTTGGCCCTCATTCTCGCTCGAGCTCGTCTTCTACAAATTACCCAGGAGCCTGGCTGGGAGTCTTTGCTGTTTAATTGCTGTGGGAGGGGGTTGAATATGGCTGTCCGGGGAGCGCTAACGGGCCCGCTGATCAGTCGGGGAAGGAGGGAGCGGAGCGGAGCGGTGCGGTGCGGAATGGAGCGGCGTGGACGAGGACAGGTGTGCCTTCATCAGCGCACTGGCAGCTGTGAATGTGGCAAGGCTGAAAGGGGGACAGACTGCGCTGGGCTGGTGGCGTGGAGGTGAGGAGCTCTGGCTGGACCAGGCTGGGGGAGCAGGTGACACTACAAGCTGAGGGAATGAGAGCGAGATTGCCGCCTCCCTGATTAAACAGCACCGCTGATGGTGGAATTTCATTTATCAAAACCCGAGCCCCAGAAGATGCAAGCCCTGTGCTCTGACTTGTGCCAATGAAGTCAGGGACCTCAAACTTTCTCCAGCAGTAACAGATTAGTTTCAGGTTTTCGAAAAAAAACCCCCAAAAAAGTCACATTTTCAAGAGTCATCATAACAAACAACGTTTATGGTGATGTTTAGAAGTCACGCAAAGAAACAGAAAACCATAACGCAAGACTGAAACAAGTGAAAAAGTCCAGATTCTAAGGTTTCAATCAAAATCATATTTGTATTTGTAAGTAGAAAAGCAGATATTTTACCATGAACTGTATTTTTTCCACATTGAAACATCTGAATATAAATCCAAGTATGTGATTATATTTAAATAGCACAGCAAAACAATATAATAACTTTAGACTTTAAGTAGAGGTGCACTGATCAAGATTTTTTATGTCTGATTCCCTCTACTTTACAGATTATTATTATTATTATTATTATTATTATTTTAAATACCCAAACCACACAACGCTCCTTATTCAAGTTGCATCTGGTTAAGCCAATTTTGTCAGTTATCAGTTTCATCTTTGCCATATCTGCATGACCAAAACACATCCGCCAGGAGTTTGTATAAATTTGAGCGCAACAGTTGAACAACCTGAAAAAAAGGCTTGATTTGCAGTTAACTAACAAAAACTCCTATCAATATCTATAATACCTATAAAAATAGAAAATAATAATACTAGAGAATAATCACACTACACAGTCACATCAATACCAGTCTATATCACATTCAAAGCGTTTGTTTATTTCACATTTTATTCTTCCCTATTGTTGCAATTTTATCTTTTATCTTATAAAGTTTGGTCAGTAGGGATAGCAGTGCACTCACTGCTCAAGCTCAAACTCTACCTATGAGCACAGCAATGCCTCCAGCCGCTGAATGCTATCATTTAATTGGCTACTGACTGAGCTACTTACTGCATGAATAAGGGCGTGCTTCATGTAAATGATAAGTAAATGAGGTGCTGGTAGGCTTGTGCTTAATTATATATTTTAAGATTCACCATTTATGCTAAAATCTTTATTTATTTATATATTGTGCGAAAGTTTCATGAATCAGAAATTTCAGTAATTTGTATGACATCAATCAAAACTACATTTTCTTTTTACGCAGGTTTGATAAATTAGGGCCATTGTGTTGGCTAAATGAATTAAATGAGACACCAGTACCAGCACTTTCCTTTAGCCAAAGTTGCACCATAACACTAACTGCTCTTCAATGGGCGAAATAGCCATTTTTTTTTACTCTTTAGTGAAAAATCAGTTGCCTTTTTAAACAACAGGAATCAAATGAAGTACTACAGTGAAAGTAATAGATAACTGGCTGTTTAGCACAATGAGTCATGCATAATCATGATTCAACATTTTGGTACAGGTGAAGGAGCAGATTTTAAATACAGTGTGAGTGCACTCACCTGCCTCACATTATCTACAACATAAAACGGAACGAAGGTTGGCCAAATTCAAAATGATAAACTGACTGATTGCTTGTTTGTGCAGCACTACTTTTATGGGTTAAAGGTGATAGCAAAGACCCACAGTGTTATTCCTCATACATAAGGATACTTCACTCACCCTATTAATACACCTAACAGTGCTCACTGGAACAGTTCAGCCTCTCCAAATGTCACTTATCATCGAGCAACAGACAGGAACCACAAAGCACCACAGCTTTCTACAGAGAGATCTGAGCACACACAACTGCACACATACCTCTCCTCCGTTGACGTACTCCATCACAAAGCAGAGGCGGTCTTTTGTTTGGAATGAGTACTTCAAAGACTAAAACAGCAGGCAGAGACACGCCATTAGAAAAAGCACCCAACAACTTAGCATATGTCTTTGCATACGCAAACATGGAAACGTATGTTGAGAAAGAAGAATCTTTTCAAACCACACGCTAAAAGTGACATTCTTCTCCCAAGAGCACATTAAAAGGGAAAACACTTGAGCAGAAGCTCTGCTCTTTACTGTGGGCCTTGATGCTAACTTTGAAATCAGGTGAAGGTGGAGAGGTAGCAGCATCTTGCGCCGGGTAAATTGTTTTGTGTTTTTTTTCTCTCTCTGAACTTGCTGTGTATCAAATGTGGCACACAACAGCATCTGGAGTGTCAGTGAAATTACCTCTCGCTGGCGACTTCTCAACAGATGTACAGCTACATTTGGGCTGCTAATTTATAACAGTTTATTCTCTGCATTATAATTAGGCTCTTGGGAGAACACAATCATATATTAGATGAGCATTGTGAAGCTTTAAGGTGCCGACAACTACTGTATGTGTGGGTGCTGTATGCTCAGTCATTAGGGAGCAGATGTACTCACAGTTAAGAAAGGGTGTCTAGTGTTTTTCAGCACTCGGCTCTCGGTGAGTGTGTGAGCCACTTCGTCCTACAGGAGAAGAAACAAAAGGAGAACTTACCTCCTGATTTTCTTTCCTAACATTTCACTAATGAACTATACATTCTGTACAAATTCAGTGCAGTGCTGTATTGCTGAAGGATTTATAAAGGGTGTACACTTAATGATGGCTATGGTTATATACATAACCAATGCTTAAATGGTTCTTTGCCTTTCAGAAAATGGTTCTTTTTATGTGTGCCTTTTTTAATGATGTTTCATTCAGTCGTTACATTCTCTATTTCATTAATTATTACTATTAGCAATTGTAGCAGTATTAGCTGTAGGAGTAGTAATAGCAGTAGTAGAAGCATTCTGTGCAACCTTCATGATAGAAAACCTTTTGAAAATGATTCTATATGGCACATTCCACCTATCTGTTACAGTTAAAAACACATTTCGGACTTACTTTGACTTCAGAGAAAAACCCTTTCACTCTAACTGTCCCTCCACCTTAATTAGGAACATTCCATTTTGTCACAAAAGAAACAACTATAACACCACCAAACTTTTCCAAATGTTTCGGTAGTGAAAATTTAAGCTAGCTTTGAGCAGAACTAAAAAACGCTAGCCAGTATATAAGTAGCAAACACAACTTCGAACAGTTGTACAGACATAAAATCAGAATATTTGTATTAAAACACAAAAAAGTTTATTTAATTGCAGAAAAAATAGGTTTCAGTAGTGACAATTCTTAATGTTACACGCTGATTTTCAGACGTTGGGACCCGTTTACTTCAAAACAATAAGATCTAACAGCTCACCATGTGGCCATAATGGACAGGGATGCAGCCTCACTCCCTACTCTAAAATGCAGAGGTGTGGCTAAAATAAGGATCCGTTTTAAGACTAAAACTCTAAAAATGAAAACTTATGATAAATGTACATCTTTCCGGTCAAATTTAAATGCTATCAAAAAGCATTTTAAAATGCTCTTTTTAAAAACAAAAAATGACAAAAAAAAAATATTTTCACAAGTTCCACCTCCCAATAGAAAGTACCCTGTAAATGGTGATTTTGCATATATTTAGCTTCTTATTATCACTATTAATGCCTTAGGTTTTGAAAAGATCATAGCATAATCCTGAAAAGGTCTGAATACTAAATTGCTTAATACTTACTAATTTTTCTCTCCTTTTTTTTCTGTGGTACTGCAGTTCTACTCATTCAATAGTCCACGTAACACTGAAAAGGGTTCCGCCATACTTAACCCTTTTTGCTAAGAGTGTAGTATAACATACAGTATTATCCTCAAAGATTCTGTTTTTTAAACTTTAACAATGTTCAAAATATTAACTCTTACATATTTCAAAAAAGCAAGGGATATTTGGTTTTCAACGACATGAGCCCTTTAAAGTTACTGAGCATCAGTCACCTCTCCATTCGTTTTTACATCTGTATGTTTTCTGAAGGGTTAAGTAATTAATGTCCTTTAAAGTATTTTCAACATCTAATTATTCAAACACCAAACTATTACAACTTACCTTTGCTATAATGACCTCTTTCTTCAGAATCTTCATTGCGTAGTACTTTCCACTTGCCTTCTCCCTTACAAGAATGACTTTACCAAAAGTGCCTTTTCCCAGTAGTTTTAAATAGTCAAAGTCATTCATTGTCTGCAGAGATAACGGACATGTGTGAGTCATGTGACAAAATACAAGTACAGTGAAGAACAGTGAGTTTGTGAGTACTGTCGACAAACTATCTTGTGACTACAATGCTTCCAAATATTAGTGAACTAATCTACTCTTTGTCTTTTACACCTGCTTCAGGGCGATTCTGATCACAATCTTTTACCATCATCTTCTCCTAACGCAAATGTGGGTCAGTGAGCGTGAGCAGATGGTGTGGTGGTACCTTGCGTTTGTGGTGACTGATGGAGATGTCCATCTCCTCCTCTCCGATGTTGTCTATTTGGGACGTAGGACTGCACTGGATCCGCTCTTCTTCCTGTCTTTGGAGTTTATCTGCCACCATCTGGATCGCATCTGTCCACTCATCCCTTAAAGTACACACACAGACACAGATGCACAACCGAGAATTAAAACACACAAGATGCATCCAAGACGTGCCATTTGTTGGAAAACCACAGCTTTTTGAGATTTACAAAAGTCTTAGGATTTACAGTGAAAGAGCACGTACGAGAGCTGAAACAAGTTTCAAAAGCAAGAGCAGCTCTCAGAAACCAGGCTGTACACAGAAACTTCTGAAAAAACAGATAACAATAGACCCTCTTTCCCATGGAGGCCTGAGCAGATTACCTCAGTAATTTATGATGCCACATTCGGAGCCGAAGCAGACACTCTACCAGGATAATTTAAAGTGACTGGGATAGCCACCCCTTCTCTGCAAACAGTGTCTCCCTCCATTGAGTTTTCATTTGTTGTGCAGCACATCTGCTGTGCAGAATCAGCGGTGCATTCAGGCTGCCGAGCATGTGTGTTTAATAATGATGAATTCATCTCAGAGAGGCTTGCTGTATGTCATTGTTTCACCAGAGGCTTGTGTTGGCCCGTTTTTGGAAGACATCAACACATTGTGAAATTCATGGTCACAGTATGAAGATGAATAATCAGTATATGTCAGTACTTTATGTACTCAATTTTCACACTAGTGTAAATGAAAATCAGGGTTCCCACCGTAATGTTTTTGTCTGCCACCGCCACAAAAATGCTTCTACTTGTTTTACTGCTGAATGCTTTGCACTATTATTAGTAGGGCTGCACAAATAATGGTATCAAAATCATAATCTTCATTTATTCTTTAAATCAGCTTGAATCAAGGACAGCGTCAATTCTGTGCCACATGACCTCAAGAACACTGTGATACATGTAATACATTTGGACCACCATAATGGACCACTGACAATGCTACTTTCTGCTAACACCCATACCGGTATCAGTTAGCGTCAAACTACAATCTTCACTTTGTATATTTTAGATTGAATTCTTCATCGACTCCTTCAGACAATTTCTGTGTATTATTGAGATCCATTTGTTGAGAGTTCATGCCATTTTTCTCCCTTTCAATAACACAAACAAAACCTACTTGAGTGCCAAAAGCTCCCACTTGCAGTTGGTAGTTGTTTTTAAGCTGTTTATTTTACAACTGGGATTTTGTAATAATGTTTTTATGTTTAGAATTGTTTACAAATTATATATTTTATTTAGAAGCAATTTTTATGTTTTCTTTTAATTCTTGTAATAACTTTGTTTATATAAACATAAATACAGTAAAATAAAAGAAACAAAAATTGTTTATTTAAAAAGAAATAGTTGAAATGTTCTGAGCTAGTCTGAAGCACAATGTTTGGCTCCAAATTTCTCCTCGACGTCCCCAGACATCACAAAGTTTTGGTAAAATCCTCCCCAGCACAGCTGATTTAACATGGTTTACTTATTAGCCAAACCAGGCACTGTATGACAACTACACGCAATACTGAGCTTCCTCAAATGTTAAACGGAAATACTGACATGCATAAACTCACTGTATTAATGTCATTTGTTTTTATTCTTATATTAGTGTTATTCTGAGTAAAAAATGCTTACAGACCAGATAAATATATTTTTAAATGTAACTTTCTCTGGTGTCTTTAAATCTGAATCTATCAGGAGTATTCAATTCTGTTCCTGGATGGACAGCGACCAACACAATTACTTAATTGTCCTTTCCAAAAACAGTGTTGGACACTGGACTTCCAGGATCAGAGTTGAATCCCACAAATATAGTCATATTGTTCTGTACAAAACTGTTACATTAATCATGATGGCAATTAAAAAATGTGATTTCAGTTAAAGTATCATGCAGCCTTAACTGTAAGAAAGTAGCTCTATTATATGTCTTAATACTGTTTTTGTCACTTAACCTTGGCAGTTTTGTGTATATTCTGTGCACACATGGATAGGTGGCTTAGATAGATTTAGTCTTATTCTAATGTTTTATTATTATTTTCAGGCTTATTTCAGCTCTTTATTACTATTATCCTCAGCACAAGCATCAAACTAAGGGAGCCACACACTAAGCTGAGGCAGAACAAGGCCTATCAGGCTTTTCTTCTCTCAACTTTTTCTTTAGTTCTGTCCCCAAGTTACAAAAGGCACTGTCCAGCTGAGGAGACCACACATCAGCCACAATCATGGTAGAAAAGTCTGCAGCGTATTGATGAATTAAAAAAAAAACCTCAAGAGAGGGGAGGAAAATTGCACGCTATTCTTAACAGGAAGAAAGGATCTCTCTGCAAACCTCCCGTGAGATCTTTATCACCACAGGGGCAGCCGGAGGCAGACCGAGTGCTTCCCCCTGGTGGTCCAGCATCACTGTCAAACCAAACAACTTCACTGCCTGCATTCATTTGAGTGGCTTTATAATCTACATGTAAGAAATGTTTTCTAGGCGAGTGGGAGCAGCACCTTTAGCAGCACAGACAAAGCATCCAGACTATGTGGTCACTCTGACATAGTTACAGATACTGACCACTAAGATTGTGACCTTATGAGGGAGCTCAGATGTACTGCAGTGATTGGAAAAAAATGAGCCACAGGCTTTTAGAAAACCCATTTAAGAAATTTAGGAAAATCTCTGTGTTACTCTGCATCGGCAGTCCTGTGGGAAACTCCAGAGCCAGAGACGCTCTCTCAAGGTTGTGTGGATGAAGGGGCACAGAAAAGAGTATAATGAGTGTTTTTCTTTTCTTTTTTTTCTTTTATAAATGAGGGATAAAGTCTCTAACTACAGTCTGGCATGATTCCAACTGCTGCCACCTCTCCTCACATGTAGGCCTACCATTCACTGACCCTCTGCCAGAATGTGTGGACTCACTTCTGCTGAGATGTGTGTTGGGGGGGGGTTAAACATGTGTCCTGATCTATAGAACTGTGCAAAAGTTAAGAAAAAAATGGCAAAATATCAGCCTCAACAACTAAATATACTATTAAAGTTTTCAGCAATTATAGTGTCGACTCTTGGCCTTTATTACAGATTCCATTCTTTTCAGGAGGCTTGCCTTCAGGTTCTTCAAAGAAATCTGCAGATATTTTTCCACACCTCCAAAGTTCAGTCATAGAATCTGGTTTCATTTTTTGCTTCTGACGATCCCAAACACTTTCAGTGATGTTGCGGTCTGGACTCTGGGGTGGTCAGTCCATTGTTCTCAGAACACCAGCAGCTACTTTGTTTGAACTGCACATTTTTCATCTATTTCCTTTTCTCAGTAAGGGCTTCCTGACAGCCACACATCCTTTCAGACTCATACTGTTGAGCTATCTTCTCACAGTGGAAGGATGGATTTTTTTTCAGATCTGAAGCAAAAGTAGAGCGTGATTTTCTCCTCTCTCTCAAAGATGAAAGCTCTACAGTTTATTTCAGGGGTCAGCAACCCAAATGTTAAGAAGAGCCATTTTGTCCTTTCAACAAAAATCAAACCACCTTGGGAGCCACAAAATTTCATGTCCATTTTACCATCTTGGCTGTAAATATGTCTTTGTATGTGCTAATGCGTCAGCCAGTAAAGGCAAAAAATACAATGGCCTATAAAGGAAAACGCAGACTTACTTTGCTCTGCTTTGAGCTTTAGCTCAGCTATAGCCGCATTTCTTGCATCTCCGGCAGGAAACTTTTCGCAAAAGCAGAATAGTTTCTTGTAAAATGTCTCTCAACGTGCAATTTCTTTACGAGGCTGAAGTCAGATTCTCATTCGCCAGCATGTTGTTCGAATTTTCCCTGTTCCAACTTAAATGGTACCTGAGGTGCCAGAATGTAACCACTGCACCATTTAAGGTGGAACGGGAAAATCTGAATGAGAAACTGACTTCAGCTTCACAACTTTTTAGTGTTTGACAGTTTTTTGTTGCAGATTAAATGTATCAGGAAATCAGCTGGAGTGCTTATAAATGCAAATAAATCAGTTTGTCTCCAAATTATCGATGTTTGTCTTAAATCTTTTGCTTTGCTTTTTCATTAGCTACTAGCTAGGCGAGATTGTTATATGTGTTGCTATGGTGACCAGTAGGGTTCAGGGTTAAAGGGTGAATAGCAGTTATACATTAACTCCAGTGTTATTAAAACAGTGTTAGAACGATCAGCAGAGCTTTATTTTACTGCAAAGAGCCGACCCCTGGTTTATCTGATGGTGACAGTTTTGCTGTCTACCAGGTCTTGCATAGTTGTTAAAAGTCCCATCTTCTCTATATAAGTAAATCCTTTTTCAAACTCCTGTTTCTTCACCTAGGTTTCTTTGACTTTGCCCTTCCTTATGGAAGTGGATTATCTTATAGGTAATCTTCTCAGACATATATCTTCAAAATGAATAACTTGTTTTGACTAGAAACTAAATATAGATGAGTGTCTCGACTTTTCCACAGTACAGCAGTATAAACTTCATAGTCTATAGACAACACTGTAAATACAATATTAAGCGCTCAATGTTTATCATTTTCCTTTATGAATGTAATTTTTAGTCAGTTACAGTGCTTCATCTCCCATTTCAACAAGAAACTCAGTTAGGTCCACTCACTATTAATGCCCCCTTGACTTTCTTTTCACTGAACAACAAGTCAGAAGTCAAATTATTCCATTCTGTGCAAAACGATTACTGCAGTGATGCGTTTCTCATAGCAAATGGCTATCAGGCAGTGTGTGCTTTTCTACCTCCTAGCCAGCTAGCATACGCTGCTTCTGCATTTTGTTTGGATTTCTAAGCACTCATGGCTCCTGCTGAGAAAGAAAGGAACAGCTGGAGGATGCAGGCCAGTGCATCTTTAACGCTCGCTTTTCAAACGATGATAGAATAATCATCCTGTTTAAGTTTGCGTTTTCCACACAAAGCTTTTCTCCGTGAAACGACAAGCTGTGTTTATAAGAACTGAAGAAATGAAGTAATTACAAACTACTTCCCCCTCCACTTAGAGACTGGACTCACCTTTCTTCTGGAGTGTCTACATGGAAGGTCCTCTCAATGACTGTGGTCCACTGAAGACATCTGATAATGAACGTGTTGGGCTTTGGTCGTTCTGTTTTCATTAACTGGCATTCTGGAATAAAGAGAATGAAAGAGTGGAGAGAGGAAAGAGGTGAAGTGTTAAGGTTAAAGACCATTCTGAGCGGTTACTAGAAGATCTAAATTGGGAAAGCTGACCTACAATCTAGAGCATACTTTGTGTGTTTAGTGAGGTCAAAGTGGCCAGCTGCAGGCGACTGTAGTGAACTCTGTGTGATAAACAGGGGTGTGTGGTAAAACAAATGGCTGTTAGTTGATGGGAGGCTGGGGGGGGGGCAAGAGAGAGCCACACAACACCACAGAGAGACGAATGAGGCAGAGAGAGAGAGGAATAGAGGGAGAGGGCTGTGGCATGAACAGCGCTCAGGTCTGCCATGCCAGCTGTTTCTTCATGAGCAGACACTAATTTCTGCCACTAATGCATCTCTGCTCGTGGGGAGTGAAGGTGATCTGAGTCCAGCTCATTGTTACAGCAGCAGGGACAATGACTGGACGACAGGTGAAGCGCGGCCACCAGTCCGTCATGAGGACCCTCAGCTGGCCAATTCCAGCCGCCTCCGAGCAATGCTGCGGCCTAAATATGGTCCCGAAGGTTAATGGTGACGGCGCGGAGGTCGCGAGGCGGCACGCTGCACGGCAACTCCTACCTGGGCAGCAGGAGAAAATTGGAGGCGCCTGCTGCGAGGCAGAAAAACAAGGTCACAGCAGCCGGAATGTGACACCTCAGGAGGAGCCGGAGCAGAGCGAGCTGACAGCATTGTTTGCTTTGCCACGCAGGATCACAGATGACGAGCTTTGCTCGGAGCAAGAGTCACAGAGGAGAGCGAGCATGCCAATTAAACAGCCGCAGAAGCTGCGACTTCCACCCATCGTGCCATGCTTTAGCTTTTTAAGGCGTTCTCAAGTCTAAAATAAGGCTGAGAGGGTGCCAAGCACAGAAAACATCAGGAGACAAACATGGCAAATGCTTCGCTGCAAATTAGGACCAACTAGCTTCAAAGGGACTTTCCAGAAACAAACTTGCACTTAAAAATTTTGCATGTGTGCTGCACGAAGGGCACATATCATGGAAAACTCATTCCCCTCATTTTTTTAAAATAAAAGTTTGATGTCGTATATATACACTGCCAAAATTTGAAAACATATTGTTCATTTCCAGTCCACACAGTCCATACATGGAAACTACGCTGCAAAAACAGTTTTAAATTCATTGTGATTTCATGAAAAACTATACATTTATGCATATCTACCTATTCAGCCTACAGAAGTTTAGGCCCACCCACCCATGCTGAAGTTATAAAAAATGTTTCTGCCCGTTGTGCTTTTTTAAATGAGGCAGCCAATCAGAACAGAGCTCATTTACATATATCAGTCTTGAAAGCACAGTAATAAAAATGCCTGTTTCCTTGGAAGGAATAAAGAGTGTTGTAGTAAAAGTAGTTATGTAAAATGAATTATGACTGTTTTTATTACATAAAACCACACAAAGGTTCTAAGTTGATCGCAGAGGGGAGAAAATAAAATGCAAGAAAAATGTGGGATACGGACCCTTTAAAATTAATGTAGAAAACAAACTTTGGAGTGCAGAGTGATACAGGCTGTATTACCTTGTTCTGCCTTTCATTAAAACATTACATTTGACTTTAACCTCTATGTGACAAATCAAACTAATTGCTGGGACCGAAATGGCGAATTTGTCATATGTTGCAATCATTGTTAAAAAGACTAATTGGTGGATACTGACTGTGCTGCCTGGTGGGCAGTGCAGGTCTGGTCAGCGTGTGTGTGTCTGTGTGAGGGGACTCTAGTCGGAGCAGTCCGGAGGCGGGCGGACGAGCAGGCTAGAGGCAGCTCAGGCCGCTGGGGGAGAAAGGCATGCCATTTCAGAGAGCACATTAGACTATCAGCCTCCCACAACCACCTGGCCTCCCAGCTTTCTGCAACAGATGTGGCAATCCTCTCCCCCTGCCAAAGCAGCCCGGGCCGGATGTATGGCCACCCCTCTCTCTTCCAGGCTTTAGATTAAAACCTGGCCGGGCCTCCTGACGGATGGAGGGCTGGAGAGAGAGAGAGAGAGCGCAGCTCGCTCCATGTGTCTGAGAGCCAGCTTCTAGGGCCGGATACCCAGCATGCCATGCAGGAGCCGTGTGCGCAAGCGCTCTGCGCTGCATCTATTTCTAGGCACGTGGCAGGGGCTGCATATGCTAGCAGCTTTCTTTCACCGGCTGCCCACTGACAACTACTGTATATTATAGACACGCTGAAAATTGATATAAATACGTGTGTTTCTGCAACTACAGGCAGCTTCGGCTGTACACATTTTTGAAAAAGAGCGAATATGTCTTTACATTAGCTTTGGCAGACAACTTCTAATATATTTGAATCTGTCATGAAAATGAGTCTATAAAACATTTAGAACACAATAGTTATATAAATGCTGTTAGGACACACTGAAAACACTGAATATGACGATGGTATTATGTATATTAGATTTATTTTACTTTTCTGTAAACAAGGAGACACTTATATTAGTGTTATTACTCTTTTTGTCCATGTGCTCTTTGAGTAATGTATGTTTTAATCTAAAGTTTGGCTTAGTAAAAAAACATTATTGTAGGTCATTTGGTCAGTGGGACAGATACATTCATAGAAAAAGAATGACATTGATTGACGAATAACAGTGTTTATTTAATAATCTTTTGATTTACATATATATTGCAGTTTCAGTTCAAATTTTTGTAATTCAGTAACTTATTTTTATGTATTTGAAGAAAGTACATGTCTAGAAAAATGGGACTGACCCAAAATGTGCTTCATAAATTACACTCAATAATCTCAGTACATTTAGCAACAAATTTGTATGTGAAAGTGTGTTATGAAACTAATAAACCATTCTCAATGCGTTATGCTAAAAACATTAATGTTATATCAAAACATTCACTTCCAGGACCTAAAACTGCCTGTACTTGCAGAAACTGCATATGAATATATGATGATGAATAAGATCCTTTAAAATTAAGCACACACACATGATTATCTCGGTTTAATTCATAGTTAAATAAGTCTTGGTATGGTAATGCCACTTGAAACTACCACAATATACACAGGATTTATGTTAATAGTTATTTCTACTAGGGCTTTTATGGTACTGACAGAATTCTTTCAGTACCAACAAGTATTAAAAAATTCTGTCTCATTCAATAAACAATTTCAAAAAGTAGTTAGTCTTATCAATGTCAGTGAGCCAATATTCATGTTTGTGTCAAAACTGAGACTGGCAACTCCTACGTCTTTAAAATCCTGCTGAGTACAAAGCTGTGACTGGAGCGTTTAGACTTTTTTCTAGATATAATGATATGATGTATTGATATATCATATTTTGTATGAAAAATATTATATCATTCTCAAATCGGTATCAAAGTCAAGGAACTGAAAGATTTTGAAACCATACATAGCTCTAATTTTTTACCATTCCGTAATTTTTCGTTTATTTTCTTGTGCCAGACCATCAGGTGGACAAACAATCAAAGCGCGAGATTCACATTAGCACATTAACACCATGTAAGCAGACCCACTTTAAGATTTTAATTTGTCAATGAATTCCCAGATGTCCTCTAATTTAAGTGCAAGATGTTCCATATCCATAAATTCCTCTTCGTTCTGCCGGTGAGAGAGACAAGATCCTCCACTGAAAACAAGCTGCACTGATAAAATGTTAAAATTCAATGCCACATAATTACTCACTTGCCACAGAGAAGTTATTGAGAGGGTAGGGTAGGTCTGCATCCTGCGGCTTCTCCTTGTATCCAATGAAGGATCCATCGGTCTTTAGCAGAAAGTAGCGTGGTCTCCAATTCTTGATATACTCACCTGTTGAGAGAAGACAAAATGTGGTCACATCAAATGAGAAAGACAAGTCTGAATGTAAACAGCAGCCTGGGATTCTGAAAACTACGCCTGCACATTAACACATTCAATTGCATTTTCATCCAGTTACATTAAACAATAGAAAAAATCATTTTGCTATGAAAGTAGCTAAATTAAAGTAGCTTTGCCATTTATATTGCATAAAAAAGTTCATACATCTATTCATACAAAGAAGTAGTAAAGGTGGAAATAAGTAAAGGAGGATGATATAACTTTATATTTTATATTAACATTTCATTTTATACTTTAACTGTTAATCAGTGCTTTACTAACTGATATGATTATCAGTTGTCAACTGTTGTCAGATATGTCTGATAATCAGAAAATCAAAATGTACAGTTTCATTCAGGGTCAATAAAGCTTCTTCTCTCACTCTAATAATATAAATATTGTAGCACTGCGGGTGGAGTTACCCAGAAGTCTTGGCTTTGTCTCTCAATGACCTCGTATTTTTCCTACTTTTCATCAGTTCTCAAAAGGATTTTTGGTGCTACAATACGTTATCCAAGAGCAGAGGTTGCTGGTTAAATGGCAGCAAGTGAGAAAGCCTGGGTTAAGTGCAAACTACAGATATCAAATAAATACATAACACTGATGCACACCTGCTCTATCACTCTCCTGCAAGTCTCCAGCTATCATAATAATTCAATTACTGTTTTATTTAGTTTCTTTTGGTCAGTATTCTTGGGTCACTTTCCAGCTACACACCTGCAACATACCTATCAGTGTGTAAAGTTAAGTGTAGCTAGTTATAGCCTATTGACTCACTTGCATTACATGATGCTGTTTTCAAAATGTACAGATTTACCAGTTTAGTCTTTACTGATCAACAGAAATGAACTGATGGTGAACATCACTGCAGGAGTCACAATAAAGACAGGCATGTAAGCAAGAAATTGTTTTCTGACTGTTATAAAATAATCCACTAATTATCTGTGATTGAGCAACTTTTTTGCTGCTACTAATAAATCTACATCTTAAAGCCGGCTGATATCATGAGCCAACCAAGAGATCAGTCAGGCTATAACTGTAAATAAGGCAGCTTTGAAACATCAAAGACTTTTACTGAGTACTCTGTACACAGACTTTGAATCATTTTTATTTGCCAGTTTGCACCAATCAGCAGAATTTATCTTGACACATTTGTTGTTGATCCCCATAGTGAGCACACAACACCATTTACAATATTGACAGCCTGCAATGATTACAAGTCCTAAGTCGATAAATGCACAGATGTATGCACAGATGTATCTACAGCTTATGTTCTGTCTGTTTGCCACAGAACTGAGACATTTGTTCATTTATAAATTTCAGTTTATGGGAATTATGATTATTCCCACATCCTTTTTATTAGAGTGGCCATCGTATCACTGACCAAACATCAGGATTACATCATTAACATGGCAACAACATGTTTACCGCCTGTGAGCCGGATGTCAGCTCAAGCATCATCTGGCCAAATTTGAGGCCAGGTGTTGGAGCGGACAGAGCTCAGGCACATGACAATTGGGTGGGTAGGATGTTAGACAAAAAGGCCTGTAGCCTGGGGGGTCAGTGAGTGCCCAGTGGGAGTAGTTGAGGAACCTTTAACCCTTCCAGCCTGAAGCGACAAAAAACAACATCTGCTGAGCAGCTGGTCTCACTGTATTACCATGCAAAACTTCTGGTGCACCAGCCTGTGCTATCTAACAATCAACAGCAGGATTACAAGGGTGTCAACATCACCATGCTAGGGGCCAGGACGGGTGCATACCCACATGTATGCCCTCCAGCCTTCAATAGCAGGCAGCAAAACCTTCAATGCACATCACAGCTGCCTGTTGCATGGTATGCATTGGGAATTCACAATCACTTGTTAGGGTTAATAAACAGGCTATTCTGCAAAGCCTCATTCACATTTGCATACAAAGTGATCATACTGAGATTCGGTTAACTGTACTAACAGTATGCTGTACTTGCAGCATGCTGTGGTTGTATGTTAACACTCCATCAACACCAAACATACTGTATTTGAATATGCACAGCTTCTTGCAGGATTCTCCTTTGAAACAAATAAATTAAATCATGATAATGGGCTTGAGAGTGTTCTCAGCTAAAGCACAGCCCTGCAGAAAAAGCCTGTATTATATTGAGGTTTGACTGACCTCCATAGGTGGTCAATCATTTAGCACGGTAGCACCAAAGTTAAAAGAATGGTTTATCAAAAAACATCTAATTTACACAATTTAACATTTACCCCGGATGTAGCAGTATGACTTACTGTGAACTATAAAAACAAACAAAACTTCTTTGCGTAGCTGAATGGACGCTCACTTTAGACAACAGGTGCGACGTTAATGAAGAGCCAGATCCAGTTTGAGTGATATGAGTTTTTTTTGGTGATGTATTTATGCAAAGGTCTGGGTGACTATTGACTTGTAGTGTTTGTTAGCAGTGTTGGCCATTAGGTATAACTTAGGTTTCACATCTTTGGTAAGTAGAATTTTTTGCCTAATCATTCTTCTAAAGAGTTCAATCCTCAGCCCATTCAGTTAAATACACTGTTTGTATGGTGCTGCCTCACTGTTTATGTAGTGCTGTCTCATATGGGGTGTTTTTTTTTTAAGCATGTAGCATAGCTTCCTGTTTAATGTTTTCTTCTCTCTGATTGCAAGGGGTCCTTGAGCATGGGAAAGGGGCTATATAAATAGAAATGATCATGAAATATTTCGTGCAAATTTAAAGAACTGTTACCTGAGTATTTATCATATTTTTGTTTTGCAATGTTTAGTGGACTTTCATATAAAATTCTATGTTCTTATCCAGTTTATTGCACCTAAGCTTGTTGTCACTGAGATGAAGAATGGCAGGGTCTCTCTCTCCTGTTGGTATCTGCTCTACATTATGTCATGTGACTGAGCCAAATGTTTAGCATTCTGAGTAAGCACTTAGGTATTTGCCAACTGTGTGGAATCATTCAGAAAGGTGAGGATAAACAACAAAGAAATTGTACCTGAGTGAAAATGTAAGTACTTTAAACATCTTTCTCAATTAACAGTGGAAGTATGGAGCCAAAAACAAAGTACTCCAGTATATTAATAGAAAGAGAGTTGTGATGTGGTGACTAATTGGTGGTAATTAGTATCTTTTACACTGATATGAATTTGGCTAGATGGTTAACATAATGTTGTAACAAGTCTAATGGTACATGTCCACTGCACACAAGCTCATCATCAGAAATTCTGGCGCATTCATTTTCAAAGGGGAGTAGCAAAAAAAATGAGGGATCGTGGGACAGCAAGGGCTGTAAACATGACTCGCGGCCTAGCAAAAAAGTTGAGCTGGCCTCAAATCAGTCAGGCAAAAGTGACTTTCCGTTATCCAGGCACAATGAGGATGTGCCTACATTGTTCCACCTGGACGACTTGAACAAAATGTTAACATAGCCTATAGAGCTGCTGTCGGATCAAAACCTTGTATCTATAAGGAAAAAACTTACTTTACTTTTAATGCAAGTCAATGGAACCAGACATTTCTTTTGGTCCATTCATCTTGAAATTGCACACAATATAAAGGACAGTAGGTATTTCAAAATTATGTCAAAAACTGAAAAATGACAATACACACACACACACACACACACACACACACACAAAGGCCTTTTTAAAACCAAGTTTACAAAAGCAGCCTACTTGAGAAGCGAATTTATTTGAAATTCACTTGAAATCCACAAATTCATGATTGACAGATTAATTCGTGTCCTGTGTTTGAGTCCATGCTGTGTGCAGCGTTACCGAAAATGTAAGGGGTAGAACTTGGTAACTGAGTAAAAGTGTAAGCATTCAAGTTCAGTTACACTTGAGGTTTCAAATCCTCCAAAACAATACTTAAGTATGGTGAAAAAGCAAAACAATTTTTTTGTGCTTTGTTATTGTATCTTAGTATTTTCTACCCCTGCATTCAGAAAGATGCAGTGACAGACTTAAAGACTTAAAAAGTATTGAAGGGAGAGAGAATAACTGCTGAACTTTGCCTATCCAGTACAGCCATAACACAGGCACAACAGCTGCTGCACGTAAGGAAGAAAGAGTGGGAAAGAAAAATGCAACTTACAGACGTACAGCTATAAAAGACATTTAGGCAGCAGTTTATATTATCCCTTTGTCTTTTATACAAATCCAGTGAAGTGTTATATAGTTTTACAGATTGAGGAAAAACAAACTCTTAGCCTGTTTTAATGGGTCAATGCACATGAAATCACATGGAAAAATGGTTAAAGAATCCTTTACATAAATCCTTCATCCTTCAAGGAACAGATAAGCGGAATCTCAAGTTGTGAGTAATGATTATCAATTTGTCAACAATGATTCAGTGATGATAATGACAGAGCTGAAGGTGAAGCATACCGTTTCTTGAATGATTTGCCCATTCATGTAAGTAACATAATTATCCTCCTCCACTGAGAAACAAATCGAGGGGAAAAAATTAGATCTTCAAGTCAATAACTCACTGAGTGGAACTGAAGCAAATGCTACTGAAGCAAAAGTTGGCCAAAGCTGTGCTGCGGTGTGCTCACAAACTCACAAGACAACAACTCAGAACAACTCTGTGCTGCCATACGTTAAGAATCAACAGTAGTTTCCTCATTAGAGTGTAAACCACTCTATGTAGACAGTTTGTCAAATCTGTAGTAAGCAACCTCAGAACTATACCATTTTTTTTGCCTTTAAACCTTATCTATTAAGGCAGACAATCTGGTAGTGGCGTGAGCGCAGAAGCTGGAGAATCCCCAGACGTGTGCTTTCTGATTCTGAACTCCTGGTAATTAGTCGCTATCTCCAGCAAGTGACACGCGGGCCTCAGTGACAGCTCTGATCACTTTTTTTTTTTCCATCAGAGGAGAAAATAAACAACATGTTCTATTTGTAACATCCACTTAAAGCATAATGACACCAGCTTCTCTT